ACCCAAAACCATACATTCTGCTCTCAAAGATCCAGACTGGGTAAAAGCTATGCAAGAAGAGCTAGAAGAATTTGAAAGAAATGACGTATGGAATCTTGTCCCTACCCCACCGATGTTTCTGTTATAGGTTCAAGATGGGTATTCAGAAACAAAACTGACGATCAAGGAATCGTTTGTCGAAACAAGGCACGTCTCGTAGTCAAAGGATATTCACAACAAGAAGGAATCGACTACGATGAAACATATGCTCCAGTTGCCAGAATTGAAGCAATTCGCATCTTTCTTGCATATGCTGCACATAAGAACTTCAAAGTATTCCAAATGGATGTTAAATGTGCATTCCTACATGGAGAGTTAGATCGCGATGTATACATCCAACAACCACCAGGTTTCGAAGATCCCAAATTTCCTGATCACAGCTTCAAATTGCAGAAAGCTGTCTATGGCTTGAAACAAGCACCCCGAGCCTGGTATGCCACATTGACAACCTTTCTCGAAGAATCAGGTTTTAAAAGAGGTTCAATCGATCATACCCTCTTTCGTAAAATCTATAATAAACATCTTTTAATCGTACAAATATATGTTGATGACATTATTTTCGGTTCTACTGATGAATCTTTGAGTATTAAGTTTGCAGATCTAATGAAGAGCAAATTTGAAATGAGCATGATTGGGGAGATGACTACTTTTCTCGGACTTCAAATCAACAGTCAACTGATGGCATTTTCATCAACCAAGAGAATTATGTCAAAAACCTACTCACTCGCTTTTCAATGGACAAATCCAATCCCGTAAAAACCCCTATGGCTTTTGGATACAAAATCGATGCAGACTTAAATGGCAAACCTGTTGATCAGAAAAGATATCGTGGAATGATCGGATCACTCTTATACCTCACTGCCAGCAGACCTGACATCATGTTTTCTACATGTGTCTGTACCAGATACCAAGCAAATCCTATGGAATCCCATGTAGTTGCTGTGAAACGCATCTTCAAATACCTAAAAGGCACTCCCAAACTTGGCCTTTGGTATCCAGCTAAATCCGATTTTCAGCTGAACGCTTTCACCGACTCAGACTATGGAGGATGCAAGTTAGATAGAAAGAGTACATCTGGTAGCTGTCAATTCCTAGGAGGTAGACTAGTGAGTTGGACTTCAAAGAAACAGACTTGTGTATCCACATCAACAGCAGAAGCTGAATACGTCGCTGCCGCCAGCTGTTGTTCGCAAGTCATATGGATGCAAACTCAACTGCGAGACTATGGCTTCAAAATTTCACAATTCCCATATTTTGTGACTCAACCAGTGCAATTGCCATTTCTCACAATCCCGTTCACCATTCCATGACAAAGCACATCGATATTCGATATCATTTCATCAAAGACAACATTCAAAGGGTCATATCGAATTGCACTTCATCAACACCGAAGATCAAATTGCCGATGTCTTCACTAAGGCTCTCGATGAAACAAAGTTTCAATACTTCCTAGGCCGTCTAGGAATGTTAAATCCAGATAACATCTATCCTTAAACTTTTACTTTTTGTTTGTACAAAAGTGTGTTTACTTTCATTCAAAAGGAAAATTCAAAAACAATTGAAAATTGCTTTCCTTTTAAAAATTACCAAAAACATTCAAATAACCAATATTTCCAAAACATTCAGAAAAACAAATCTTCAAAAAAAATTAATAAAAGACTTGCCATAATAAGCTTTTATAGAACCTTGTGATTAATCTTCTCTTGACTTAATTTCAGATGCTTATGCTCGATGAAGATTTTAAGTCATATTGATTCTCAATTGGAGTGAAGGTTCAAATATCCTACTTTTCATAATGTATATAACTTTATTTCCTTCGATTTTATTTCATTATTGACGATTTTAAACAATCAAGGGACATAAGGTTAGGAGGTTCAGATGAAAACAAAAACCCATGTGAGAATTTGTGCCTCGTCGATCTAAATCATTGTGGAAATCATTTCTTGTGAGCTTAGGTGTGTCACTATTGCTTATAAGGTATACCCAATTATACCTTGTCACGGTCTCATTTTTGCTTAGATATCAAAATGACCAGGGACGATACATTCATTTCTTACATACTAGACAAACTGTCTTTTATGCCACCTATCCCTACCTAGATAAAAGCCAACCAAAAATGAAGACTTGTGATCCCATGATCCATCAAGCAAACAACGACATATCCTTACAAGAAAACCAAAGGAGAAACAAATATCTATCAACATCTAATCCTCAAAGACAAATCAACAAGAAAACAAGTGGATTCAATAAAGATATACCAAACAAAACAAAAAAAAATATTCTATATTTGGTATTTTCAAACAAAATTTCAACCAAATGGTTATTTCAAAACAAAAATCATAAAATCCCCACGATTTGTTTTAACTATTTTTCACAAAAGAAGATATCTCAATCACTCAAGTCAAATACTCTTAAAAAGGTCTCAAATGTAGCAAATTCTCAATGCTAAAACAAAATATCTTTTTACAATAAATCGATATTGATCAACAAACAGGATACTATCAAAGAAGAAGCTGCAACAACAATGGATTTCCCGGGATACTGTAGCCTTCATTACTGAAGAATCTTAGTTGCAAACTGCACTATGAAAATTGCTAAACCCCTCTACATGTATTTCCCGACGGAGAGAGAGTGAACTTTAATGGCATGAATGAAGAAACCCGCTGAGTAATGCCGAAACCAGTCTTATGTGATTGATTATCTAATAATGAGACTAAGTGACTTTACAGGAAAAGCATAGCTGAACACCTCCAATATGAGTGTGAGTCGTCAGAGAGAGATATCACTCATTTTTAGTGATCATTAACTTGTTCTGCTGCCAGAACAACCAAACACCCAAGTGAAGTGTGAGCTATACCTATGAGCGTTCATCTGAATCGACCTGTTAGACCACTTGTCGTCATTAATAATGCTATAAAATCTAAGGAAATTTCTTTAGATACATATATGACTACCCTTTGATAACCGAACCCGAGACTTTGATTCGGAAACAAATTTCTGAAAATCTTTTACATAAGATATGTTAAACCAAGTCACAAACTTTCAAAACGATTACAATGGTTTTATATATATCTTCTCATTGACAAAACTTTTATCCCAAATCTTCAAGATTAAAATTGTTAATGTGATTATATCTATCCTTATTTCATCAATGATCACATAGGGGGAAATTGTTGAAAAATGTTTTTATATGTGATCATCACTGAAATAAGACGAATTGGTTTTATATTATCTAACAAATATTATCAGTTATTTCAGGTTGCGTGGATTCGTGCTTAATTATGAAATACAAAAATAGGCAAAAGACGAAATACGCAAGACGGAAAAATAGACGCATATTTGATCGTTTGAAGACAAAACAAATCAAAGGATAAAAATTGTCAAAACTTCAAAACATCAAGGGACCAATATGAAAATTCAATTTCTTAATTGAATTATAAACATTCAGTAAAAGAAAGCCACGTTCCCATTACTACCACTTGATTAAAAGCTACAAGCTAGCACCATACATACTCAAGTGTGTTTAAAGATGTTTTCTTTTATTATATGTACATATATATGTACGTATATGTATGTATGTTGTATATATATATATATATATATTATATGTATGTATATATATATATATGTATGTATATATATTATATATATATATATCGTGCATATGTATGTATGATTGAGAGAATTGTCACAAAAGAAAAAAGAACCCAACCTACATGTGTTCTACCAGCTACTACATCCACCAAGCTATTTCTTTTTCATAAACAAACACAAGTGGAAGAGTTGTTTGATTCATTTTTGCATAATTATGTATGTATACGTGAGTTTTGAGGGGAGAGTGGAAGTGTAAGTGTTTTAGTCTTTGTTTTGTAATAATTCCCATTACTCACTCATCTCCAGAAGAATAAACACACAACCAACCTCCAAATACTCTCCAAACACCCTCCAAATACCCACTTCAACCTCATCAAATCACCTTAAAAAACCCCATACCCACATACAAAAAACATTACCCTTGTATTTTGTATCGTTTTGTAAACAATTCATTGTTACATAAAAGAACTTATTGTTACTTACCGGATTGAACTTTGAACAAATAGAGACACAGTCTATTAAGATCCAGTCCAATTCTAAACCAGTTCAGTCAATTTATTGACGAACCGACTTTATATATATTTATATATTTATATATTTTATTACAGCTTTACGTCATTTAAATACTGTCATTTATTTCATTTATAACTTTCAGTCATTTATAGCTTTCCAGTTTATATTTATTCCGCACTTCTTTTTTTTCGCATCTTATCTCCTTAAATATATATATATCTGTCACCCAGTAACTGGTATCCGAGCCTTAATTCGTGGTAATCAGATCGTATATTTTCAACACATTATAATCATTTTAGTAAAAGCAGCAACATCATAAATTCATCATTAATGGTGTTTTTTTTAGAGGCTTACAATGGTAGACGATAATGGGAGTTGATTATTGGTGGGAGAAGAAAAAAGCAACAAGGGCTTTCTGACACCTTCTTCCCTTCCAATTAGAAACCTCCTGCTTTGGACTAGTAGTTTAATTTTTTTTTAATTTTTTTCATTATTGTTTTAATCAAACTATGTGAAAAGTATTGTTTACTCAATCCAAAGTAAGGTTGTTAGTTTTTTACAATTAATTGATACTCAAGTTTTCTGTAATATTAAATAAATATATTTGAAATTTAATATCTAGTCAAACTATTACAAGTGGAATGTTTTTCCTTTTTATCTATTCATCTGCACCAAGCATTATATGGTTACTGATTAACAAATACATATAGAACTTATACCATATACAACAAAACCACTACCTTGAAGATGTATCAATCATCTAATAAAAATGCTGCCCTTTTGTAAATTAATTTTACATAGAATTTATTAGACCTAAACTAATCTCACAACCATATCGAATCCCTCAAACAATCTTAAGGTTTTGGTTTGATCTTGACGGGTTTACCTAGCTTAGATTTATCTTCCATTTTTGCAATATGACGAGCCTTGTCAGAAACAGAAACAGGAAACCCCTTAGCATCATCCCATGATTCCAAAATTACCCCTGACCCCACACAAAGCTCTTGTTGATAAAAAGCTGCAAATGGGCCAGTTGCGAGACCCTGATCATCTTCAGGTAATTGGACGATGCCAATACCATCTTTTCTTCTATATGCAAACTGCAATCATAGAAAACCGAGCCACGCAGAACCTGTCAAAAACACGTGTAAATGTATATTAAGTCTGTTATTAAGTGAAAAATTCAAGTCATGTAAATGTTTATGTTTACCTTGCATCTTAAGTGGTTTAAGTTGTGAGGAGGAGATCCGTCGATCCATCTAAATGATCCAACACGAAATGATCGCCTTCTTTTATCAACCGAATAATAGTTTCTTGATAAAAAAACCACATTATTTTTTTACATATTTCTCAACAACATACCTGCATGGAAACATGATATGCATTTTTTTCATAAATAAATAAAATTTTAAAATATTTTTACATAATAATAATAATAATAATAATAATAATAATAATAATAATAATAATAAAAGGTTTACCATGGTACTCCTGCAAGACCCAAACCTTGGCGTTGACAATTTTTGTAAAACCAGAAGCCCCTGTGGACTCCTAAAAAATCACCTGTTTCAGCTTGCTTCTAATAGTATACCTTCCTTTTAATAGTATACCTTCCTTTTCACCAATATGTCTTCCAACAAATTCACTCAACCTAATGTGTAGAATACTTACATGAATTTCCACTATATATATATATATATATATATATATATATATATATATATATATACAAATCATCTCCAAAGTTGGGATTTTTTTAACAAACATAACATAAACATACCTTCCCAAGAAAGCATATTCCCTGTGAATCCCTTCTTTCTTGGTTAGGCAAATCAAATTTCCAGGCAAGCCTTCGGACTTCGTCATTATAATTTGATTGGTTTCAATAGTAAATTCTTGAATTCTGTTATGTGTTTCATAAAGCAAACTTACTTACTTTTGGAATACATCCAAGAGGAAGCACTAGTCTTTTAAGCTGAGCTTGTGAGAGACATGAAAGAAAGTAGGTCTGATCCTTCACCTGAAATTCTAACATGTATCCCTCAATGACAGGTAAGTAAGTTGGTAATGAAAATAAGTAGAGCATATCTTTACCGTATCCTTTGACAGCTGAAGAAATAAAAGCTCATTGGTTTCATCTGTAAGGTGGTGAATAACTTTTGCATAATGTCTAGAAGCAACAAACTCAAAATCCATGTTACTGATGGCATCCATGAACGCACCTACAAATATAAAATAAAAATGAAACTAATGAAAAATGAGAACAATAGAAGATGAAAGCAAGAAATATGATTATGCACCAAATTTGATTCTTGTATTCCAAATAACATCATCGTTAGGTGTACGTCCACGTTTATACTCATCAATAAGGTAAGATACCTGCAACATTGTAACTTGTAAGCAATAAGTTCATTGATGATGATGATTGTGAGAAAATGCATCAAGAGGGGTGTGACTAACCACTTTGTCCTAATATTCATCAGGTGTACAACTTCCAGTGCTACATCAACCTGAAAAAAAATGTTGATATATTTCCTTCAATACTAATCAAGCTTGGAAGAAACAAAGAAAAAGATCACATAATCAGGGATTTGAGTGATAGAATCAAGAAGTTAATTTGTTAAAACAAAGCAGGGAAGTGTTTTTGAGCCTTCAAATCCAGTTAGCACTTACGAAAATTTGAACATAAAATGAGATGGATAATATGAAGGTGAAGAAAGCAACCTGATTGCAAAAACCTTTTGCGTACTTTAAATCCTCTTTCCATGGACATTCAGACCAAAAGTTATCGAAATCTTCCTACGAACGAATTCAGTACTAGAACTAGCAAAGGAATTATAGGTTTCAAACTTCAAAAGGATCAAAGACAAAGAGAAGGGTAAAAGTAAAATAAGAAACTAATAAGAGAGGAGATTTTTGTTCATTTCAATCCTATCATCCATCACAAAAATAGATTTTAAATTCTTGAATTGGAGCAGATGTATCATCCGACAAGAGATGAGCAAATTTGCAAAAACTTACAATTTGAAGTTTTAGATAACCAACAAAATTAAGTTTATATTTGAAACCAGACATTGTGGGCATAAACCTGAATGATTTTATTCTTATATGCAATGTAATGTCAATCAAAAGAAAAGAATACGCACTTTGAACCAGATTTTAAGGTAGAAAGCGGTGCACGAGTGTCCGGATGCGTGGAGGAGGCGAAGTGCGACACTGCTATCAACGCCACCACTGAGAAGAACTGCAATTTTGAGAGGGCGCTTGCAATTGGGCATTGAGCATGACAAGTAACTGTTGTCCAAATCAGAAGTCGTGTCGTTCGAAATTTGGGGAACTGTTGTAGATGATAGAGAATGAGGTGTGTTGATGGATAAGATCGTTCTTTCAGCTCGAGGGTAGCTTTTTCGAATTATTAACCACCGGGGTTTGTGAAGCGATTGTGAGACGAAAGCCTTGAGGGGTAAAGAGTACGGCTTCGTGGTGGGGTGAAACAGAGCAGCCATTGTTGTTCTGAGCATCATTTCATCGAGCTTTTGCGTCGTGTTGATGACACTGTGCGTGAAAATAATAATTTAGAATGAACTATTTACACTTTCACCCCTATACTTTAAATTTCCTGTCACCTTTACATCAAGACATAAACAGTTAAACACTACTACTATCCCAATAGAAAGCTCAACATAATCATTGAAATATAAGTTAAACACCTCTTTAATTTGCAAATACAGTACAACTTACTAGCATGAAAAGTCATTTTCATATTATACTTACACCAGACACCTATAATGCTAGGCTCGCAACGGCTCATCCCCGTCGTCGGCATTCTCGGCATTCTGCGCCTCCAACTCATCTCCGTCTCCGGCATTCTCAGCATTCTGTTCTCGACATATATTTTTTTTCCTTTGGTTTCGAACAGAAAGAAAACAAGAGCAGCGAAAGAATGAAATTAACCTAGAAGAAAAGATTAATAACCCCAGCTAACTGTAAAGGCATACTCTCATCTTTTCTTTCTTAAATAATGTGTGTGTGTATGCACACACACACACACATATATATATATATACACACACACAAATATATATACACGAGTGGTGTACCCGCGCAAAGCGGCGGCGATAAATAGTTTCCGAGCGGTAATTAACTCATTTCGTTGAATAGTTTCCTAGTGGCAAAACTGTGAATAAAAATTTAATAATGAATCTTGTACATCCTAACCATAACAAATAAAAAATAGTAAACAGACAATCTATCCTCCTCACTACTATGCCCTAAAACAAAGGGTTCACGTGCATCAAATCAATCACTCGTATAGCTTTTGTGAATCATCCTTAAATTTGGCCTTCAATTGTTCCCTCTTTAACTTGAGTGCGGCTGTCACTAATCCAGATTTAGGTTTCCATGGATCTGGCAAAAACTTTATATTTGCTGGAAGCTCAAACTTGTCTAACTTTTCCTCTTTTCCTACCTACAAAACACAATTTTGAAGAAAAAGGTGGGAGGCTGTGATGAAAAAAGACATAAACACCCTCATTGATAGATAAGTTTAAACCAACTTTGGAGAGAGATTGGTGGACCTCGGAGACAACCTTTTTTTAGCACAAAGCTCAGCATAATCATTATAACTAACGCCACCACTTTTGGTCCATTACTCAAGAACCAGGAGTGTAGGGACTACTAATGATACACAATAACTGGTCTGTACGATTTGCTAGGGTTAAAAGTCTTTTCTTCTAATTAATTTCATTCCTTAGCTGCTCTTGTTTTCTTTCTGTTCGAAACCAAAAGAAAAGAAATGTATGTCGAGAACTGAATGCTAAGAATGCCGGAGACAAAGATTAGTTGGAGGCGCAGAATGCCGAGAATGTCGACGACGGGGATGAGCCATTGCGAGCCTAGCATTACAGGTGTCTTGTGTAAGAATGATATGAAAGTGACATTACATGCTAGTAAGTTCTACTGTTTCATTCTTACCACACATACACACTCACAAAAGACATGAATTTTGTTCCAAGTGGACGTGTAATGTCAACTATAATAAGTTTATGCAAAGATTATTTGATTGTGACGCCTGCATATAGATGGTTGTAAACTTCAAATAATTGCGTAGAAGAAAATGCTACACATGAGGAGATTGAAGTGCCTAGCATTGTGATTACGTATACTTTACACTTCATCAAGAAGTTGCCTCGAGCAAGTAAAATATCCAAGTTAATTTCATTATAATCATTTTAGTAAAAGCAGTAACATCATCAATTCATTATTAATGGTGTTTTTGTTAGAGGCTTACAATGGTAGATGAAAAAGGGAGTCGATTATTGGTTGGGCAGAAAAAAAAAAGAATAGCAACAAGGGCTTTCTGACAGCTTCTTCCCTTCCAATTAGAAACCTCCTGCTTCGGACTTGTAGTTTAATTTTTTTAATTTTTTTTAATTATTGTTTTAATCAAACTATGTGAAAAGTATTGCTTACTCAATCCAGACTAAGGTTGTTAGTTTATAACAATTAAATGATACTCAAGTTTTATGTAATATTAAATAACTATATTTGAACATAAATATCTAGTCAAACTATTACAGGTGGAATGTTTTTCCTTTTTATCTATTCATCTTCACCAAACATTATATGGTTACTGATTAACAAATACATATACTGCTTATACCATATACAACAAAACCACTACCTTGAAGATGTATCAATCATCTAATAAAAAGGTTGCCCTTTTGTAAATTAATTTAACATAGAATTTATAAGACCTAAACTAATCTCACAAACATATCGAATCCCTCAAACAATCTTGAGGTTTTGGTTTGATCTTGATGGGTTTACCAAGCTTAGATTTATCTTCCATTTTTGCAATATGACGAGCCTTTTTAGAAACAAAAACAAGAAACCCCTTAACAATATCCTATGATTGCAAAATTATCCCTGAACCCACACAAAGCTCTTGTTGATAAAAAGTTGCAAATGGGCCAGCTCTGCATGACCCTGGTCACCTTCAGTTGGACGGTGCCAATACCATCTTTTTCTTCTATATGCAAACTGCAATCATAGAAAACCAGGCCATGTCGAACCTGTCAAAAACACGTGTAAATGTATATTTAGTCTGTATTAAGTGAAAAATTGAAGTCATGTAATGTTTATTTTTACCTTGCATCTTAAGTGGTTTAAGTTGTGAGGAGGATATCCGCTGATCCATCCAACACGAAATGATCGCCTTCTTTTATCAACAGAATAATAGTTTCTTAATACAAAACCATATTATTTTTTTACATCTTTCTCAACAACATGCCTGCATGGAAATATGACATATATTTTTTTATAAATAAATAAGTCTCTAAAGAGTTTTACATAATAATAATAATAATAATAATAATAATATAATAATAATAATAATAATAATAATAATAATAATAATAATAAAAGGTTTACCATGGTCCTCCTGCAAGACCCAAACCTTGGCGTTGACCAATTGCGTAAAACCAGAAGCCCCTGTGGACACCTAAAAAATCACCTGTTTCAGCATCTAATCATATACCTTCTGTTTCATCAATATGTTTTCCAACAAATACACGGAACCAACTCAGTATAATAATTACATAAATTTCCACTTAATATATATATATATATATATATATATATATATATATATATATATATATATATCATCTCCAAAGTTGGGATTTTTGTTAACAACCATAAAATAAACATACCTTCCCAAGAAAGCATATTCCCTGTGAGTCCCTTCTTTCCTGGTTAGGAAAATCAACTTTCCGGGCAAATCTTTGGACTTCATCCTGATAATCTGATTGGTTTAAATAGTAAATTCATGAATTCTTTTTTGTGTTTCATAAAGCAAACTTACTTTTGGAATATATCCAAGAGGAAGCACTAGTCTTTTAAGCTGAGCTTGTGAGAGATATAAAAGAAAGTAGGTCTCATCCTTCACCTGAAATTCTAACATGTATCTGTCACTAACAAGTATCAGGAAGTTGGTAATGAAAATAAGTAGAGCATATCTTTATCATATCCTTTGACAGCTGAAGAAATGAAAGCTCATTGGTTTCATCTGTAAGGGGGTGAATAACTTTTGCATAATGTCCGGAAGCAACAAACTCAAAATCCATGTTACTGAGGGCATCCATGAACGCACCTATAGATATAATATAAAAATAAAATTAATGACAAATGAGAACAATAAAAGATGAAAGCAAGCAATATGATTACGCACCAAATTTGATTCTTGTATTGCAAAGAAGATCAGGGTTAGGTGTACGCCCACATTTATACTCATCAATAATGTAAGAAACCTACAACATTGTAACTTGTATGAAATAAGTTCCATTGATGATGATGAATGTGAGAAAATGCATCAAGAGGGGTGTGACTAACCACTTTGTCCCAATATTCATCTGTCAGATGTACAACTTCCAGTGCTACATCAACCTAAAAAAAAAATGTTGATATATTTCCTTCAATACTAATCAAACTTGGAAGAAACAAAGAAATAAATCACATAATCAGGGATTTGAGTGATAGAATCGAGAAGTTAATTTGTTAAAACAAAGCAGAGAAGTGTTTTTGAGCCTTCAAATCCAGTTAAGCACTAACGGATATCTGAAGATAAAATGAGATGGATAATATGAAGGTGAAGAAAGCAACCTGATTGCAAACAGCTTTTGCGTACTTCAAATCCTCTTCCCATGGACATTTAGACCAAAAGTTCTGGAAATCTTCCTACGAACGAATTCATTACCAGAACTAGCTAAGGAATTATAGGTTTCAAACTTCAAAATGCTCAAAGACGAAGAGAAAGGTAAAAGTAAAATAAGAAACCAATAAGAGAGGAGATTTTTATTCATTTCAATCATATCTTCTGTACATCCTCCTCTCCGACCCTCATCTGATGATAACCAGAACGCAAATCAATCTTGGAGAACCAAGATGCTCCCTGTAGCTGGTCAAAGAGGTCATCGATCCTCGGGAGTGGGTAATGGTTCTTCACTATTACCTTATTCAGCTCCCGATAATCTATACACATCGGATGCGACCCGTCCTTCTTCTTTACAAACAGAATCGGGGCTCCCTTGGGAGAACTGCTCGGTCTAATGAATCCCTTGTCTAACAGCTCCTTCAGCTGTGTAGACAACTCCTGCATCTCAGGAGGAGCCAACCGATACAGTGCCTTGGCTATCGGAGCCGCACTTGGGACTAGGTCGATCCTGAACTCCACCTGCCTCTCCGGAGGTATCCAGGGCAACTCCTCGGGGAATACATCCGCAAACTCTCGCACAACTAGCACTTCACCACCGTCGCTGTGACAACCGTCAAATTCAAGTCAAAGTCAAAGTCAACAAGTCAAAGTCAAGTCAACAAGTCAAACCGGTCAATTTGTATAATACTTGTATGATTAAAAGTTATTCTATGAAAACGTACATTTGTATGTCAAGAATTCAAGTTGTCTCGGTAAATCTATGTGTTTATCAATGTGAAACCCTAACAAGGGAGTTAAACGCATCAAAACACGACTAAGGACCCTTTCGGGGACTTAAAATAATCATAAACGAAGTATAACGGGGTCCACGGACCTTGCATTGCAAGATTATTCGATAAAAATGGCTAAAAATGAATCTCTCTCAAATCTCTCCCAAATCTCTCCCAAATCTCTCTCAAAATCTCTCTCAACTTTTTATAGTCATACGGGTCATCCCGACCCTTAACGTGGCCAAAAATCGCGCAAAACTGGGAGTTATATTGAAAAATAGCCATTTAGGGCCGAAACTCCTCTTAGGAGCCGAAACCCTGTCAGAACCGAAACCCTGTCAGAACCGAACATAGCCTCCTGAACCGAACTCATTCTCGGAACCGAACCTCCCTACAACCGAAATAGGCTGAACCTCGCTGACAGCAGCCGAGACCGAGTTTCGGTCCCTCCTCCCGCCTCGCACCTTCGGTTCCGTGCTTCACACTTTCGGTTCCTTCACTCCTCTCTCGGTTTCTTCTTCCCTTCTCTCGGTTCTCACCCTCTTAGAGCCGAACCTCGCAGGTTCGGTCCCTAATGTCCGGTTTTCGACTACTTTCACCTGTTAAGCCTATTTTTGACGTTTTTGACGGGGATTTTTTTACCAAATTCATATTTTTACTATTTCTAACTCCTAGAACTCATATTTTATTTATTTCTCAATGATTTATTAATTTAAAATCATTATTTCATTAATAGAAATATCTAAGGATATTTTACCCCACAAGTGGGTCAAGTGTGCCCACTTGCCTCCATGTGTCACTTCCCCATTAACCCAACCCTATCCACACCACACAAACCAAGGAAAACATTCTATCAATCTTGCAACTTGCTCCAGCAACTCCTCTATATAAAGAAATCCCTGGAGAAAATTTCTTGATTCACTTTGATCATTCCCACACTTTTACACCTTTCTTACTACACAAAGAAGCTTATTTTCTCTCAACTTCCAGCCACTTTTGGAAGTGTTCTTGAGCTATTACTTCACTTTTTGGTAAGTATTTCCTCTAAACTCAAGTGTTATTCCATGTTTTCATAACATCCTTGAATCATCTACTCACATTCTAACGCCAAAGAATCGTTCTTAGGATCATCCAAACTTTTACGTGTTCATCAAGTGTTCTTGACTTGATACTTCTCGTCTTTGACCTTCCACTCTTCCAAGAATCACTAAAGGTGAGTTCATACCCCTACATTTTCTATTTTTCTTTAGTTTTCAGGGGGGGAATACAAGTTAAAACACCAAAACATATTTGAAACTTAACTTGACAGCTTACAACAGAAAAGTTGTGACCTGTTCACGAACTGTTTTACCCAACTTAAGCTTAATATTTTTCAAAACTGTTCAATATGCAAATATTTCAGGTTTATACCTTTAAAATGACTACTTGCACATCTTCATACGATTTTTCTACAATTGTTGGTGATTTTTACAAAACTGTCTATCACCGCAGCAACGAAATCGGACCACGTCGTGAAAATGAACATTTTCACACTGGTTTGAGACCACCAAAAATTATAAGAAAGTTTGTGAACATAGTAGAATCGTTTGTTAAACTGTCTAAGTTTACAGATTTAGTTTTCGACTTACGATGATTTTTCTATAAATAACTAAAACAGTGAAAGTTAAGAGTTAAAATCTTAAAACAAGTTTAAGAGTTATCCACACCTTCTAACATGTTGAGCAAGACGTGTAAGGATTTTATATTTTGCATTTTCAATGTCATTTTATTGAAATACAAGGTCATGCATAACAAGGTTTCATTACAACATAAAACATTTTGATAAAACTATAATAGGTATAGTTTGGGCACCTCAAATGGTAACACTAACGATTTACAAAACGAGTATTTTATTACAAACTACGTGAACATGTTAACGAATAAATTTGTGAGACATTCATCTTCGGAGTACTCTTTAGTACTACAGAAAAGTCCTGTAGTTATAGCCAGAATCTCTTGTAGGGAGAGCGTGATAGTTGTATATAGATCTATATTGGGTTTGACAACCCGCACCTGAGCTGCTTGCAACAGCTAGACCGGCAGGTCTGGGGTGACAAGTGTCATAACATTCCGACGCTTGAAGAACGTCGAGTACGAGGTCTTCGAGTCATAGTATGGTTATAACAACTCACATGAAAAATTAACAAACACGCCGTTCATGGGAATTTAAGGATTTCACAAAAAGGAGTTTTATTTACTTATAAAACCACATATAAGTATGATGATTTACTTACATATGCTAAGTCTTGGTTCAGTTAAGACTACAATAAACCTTTTTGAAAATATTGGATTTTCTGGAAACAAACTCATAACAAAACCTTAAGGAACAACATTCATTTTTCATTTCATAAAATTGTTTATGAACTCACCAGCTTTAATGCTGATACTCTTTCAAAAACAACTTGTATTCTCAGGTAATCAGTAATACAGGTAACCACAAGACTTTTGAAGGCAAGACGCTAAGGCGTAGATTTCTTTTGAACTATTTTTGACATCATATGTAATTTATTTGGAAACATGTATTTTGCAACGATGTAACCTTTTAAATTTTATTTATGATGGTTGTGTTTACTTTCTTCACTATGGTTATGATACTGAACATGACGTCCTCCGCCCCCGAACGTTTCCGCCGTTCCGGTTTGGGGGTGTGACAGATTGGTATCAGAGCTTTGTTTATAGTGAACTAAGTATATCGAACCACATAAGATATACAAACTATAAATACAACGGGACAAAATTCTCTGACGTAGCCTTTCAAAAATACTTTTAAGAATAAAAATTCGTATTTTATAAAAAGTATTCGTACAATCGCACTCACTAGTTCAGTATCATCAATAACATAAAAGTATTAAGACAAGTTGGACACCATGATCTAGCTTCGGGGTATGTAGTCAGGTCTTGGACGAATATAACCTGATCAACTATATTTAGCCAATGTATGACCAACGTATGCCGAGGAGGGATCATGATAAGCAACAAGTCTTCAACTTACCAAAAACCTCGAGAATCAAACGTAAAAATGCTATAGGAGTATTTTAACACAAAAACCATATTAAGCACTTTATTAATTTGCGTTAACTAACTTCTTTTGACGCGACATCCTTCTTATCCCTATTCTCGTACAGGCGTAATGGCAGGATTTCACTTGCCGGGTGACCCCTATTTCCCCAACCAAGGGAATGCCAGTTGGATCGAGGAAGCCCCCGAGGAGAATTCCGATGAAGAACCCATGGAGGATGAAGAACCCATGGAGGATGAAGAACCCATAGAGGACGAAGAGCCTATAGAAGAGGAAGAGTCGGTAGACGGTGAAGAGGAAGAAGACTCAGATGGAACCGACTCTGAACCCGAAGTTTACAATCCACACCCTGCCCCTATCACTCTGCAACACTTCCAAGGCCCGATGCCCCAATGGGCCGAGACTATACATAGATGGAGTCGAGAGCAAGGTCAACGACCTCCTTATGGCATGCAACGAGGTTTCTACGACCTCAGCAGAGGAGGATCAGCCGACAGAGCCCTCCCTATCATGGTTCACCGTGTCGCACGCCATGAAGAACAAACTAGGATAAACATCCGCCACCTCATGGAAATAGGTGCAACCAGCCAAGTCAACTCCGTTCACATCCGCCAGATTAATGAAGAACACGATCGAACTCGAGACCGCACCGAAGTTCTTCGAAGGGAAATGGCCGCGACCCGAACCGAAGTACAAGAACTCCGGGAACACCGAACCACCTTAGAAGAACGTCTAACAGAAGCAGAGCGCCAAGCGGCAGAATCTAGAGCTGAAATGAGGGAAGCCAGGAACCTCATGTCTTCACTTCGTGGTCCTCAAAGCTTCAACCGTCGCAAGTAGTACTTGCACTGCTCGCTCCAGTTTAATCTAGTTTTGCGGATAAATATTACTATTATTTTCTAGTATGTCATGTCCAACCCCGCGATTTAAGTGTTTACACTTCTGGGATCTGTTAGGCAGTCAAAAAATTTCCGTACATTGATGTAACCTAGACCCTTATAGGGTCAAAATTTTCCCAATATTGTATACTAAGTTATATCAATGAAATTGACACGCTATTTGCTTTATCACATCAAGTTCACGATAAGGATTGTTTTTAGACTAAATTTACTGGTGTCCGATTTATGATTGTTTGAATTATAAGTCAAATTGTATAATTAAGACCATGT